GCGCCGGTGGCCCCCCCCCCGCCGGACTAACGGCGGTGCTGACGGTGGCCTTACGGATCTCCCGGACGTGTGGCCCTTATCCAGCGCCCCACGTTGAGCTCGCTCAGAAAGCGGCTGGCGTTGTCTCCGGCCAACGGGTGGACGTAGTGCATGCAGCCCCACCTGTCTGCACGGCAGCTGTCACCAGACACCTGCACGTCCGTCGCCGTGGAAGAGAAGCAGGTGCGAGCGTGTTGAGCCGGGGGGTCCGAAGCTTCGACCACGGGCACCCAGAAGCCCCTCACAATGAGAAAAGCCGTGACAGGACCAGAAGCCCCACCCGCAATGCATTACTCTCTGCTGGAGAGCTCCCCAGGGCGGAGAGGGAACAGCCTACCGATCAGAGCGCAGCTGCCGCGGCCGGAATGGGCGGGGTCACCTGCGCCCCCGCCTGGTCAGCCAGCCAGGCCGTCGCCTGGAAGTTTCTACAGCGACCGGACGGCCTCTCCCTGGAGCTCACTGCTCCCCTCGGGACACCAGATCCTTCCCAGAGGAGGGACAGAGCTGCAGCTCCACGGTCACACAGGACATCAGCAAGCACACGGCTAGTGCTGGGGTAGTAGGGGATGGCACTCAGGACAGGGGAGGTGCCCCATGGGGAAGCACGTACCACACCGCACCCCACACATATACACACATACACACACCACATGCACATGTGTATACACACGTACATGCACCAAATACACCACACACACGTGTACACAGTACACACCACACACACCACATATATACATGTACATAAACATACCTCACAGATGTACACCACACACCACACACACGTGTACATGTATGCACCACATACACACAGATACACCACACATACACCACACATACCACACGCCACACATGTGTGCATACATGTACACACCACACAATGCACATCACACACCACACACATATACACATATAAACATACTGCTCACAGCACACACATACACGCAACTGCATGCATATGTACATGCATGCACAGGTGCACATAAACGTGCCACACCTGTCTGCATGCATACACGTGTGTCACATGCACGTCACAGACATACACCACACATATACATATACACACCACACAATACACCAAACACATATACACACATACACATATCACATACACAGCACACATATACATGTACATACACACAACCTATACCATATATCACATAGCACTTACACATCACACCCAACACATATACACACACACCAACATGTCATACCAGACACATGTGCACACATATACAACTCACACCCACAACATGCAGCACATGCGGCAAGCTTGCAGGGTGGAGGAAGCCACACCAGGGCGCCAGGTCAGCAGGGGCAGGTGTGGCGGTGGCTGTGCACTGAAGAGTGTGAGTGGGCTCAATCCCAGAAGGACCAACAAAGCCAGCGTCACGTAAGCACAGAGGGTGCCCCGATGGAGCGGCACTCGGAGCCTGGCCGCGACTCAGCTCCCATGACCTGCCAAATTGCCCACTGGAAGCTGGACACGAAGGGGGCCGGGTGCCCTGAGCGTGGTCTCACACCTAGCACTCCGCCCTGCTATGCCACTCTGCTCGGCGGGGGTCCTGCGTGGAAGTGCACAAGCCGGCTCAGGGGGCTGTGCAGGGTAGGCGGCCAGACGGGCCTGCCCTCCTGTCTGGGCCCACCCTGGGGAACAGAGCACACCACGTGTGGGCTCACCCCGGGGACAGAGGACACCACGTGTGGGCTCACCCCGGGGACAGAGGACACCACGTGTGGGCTCACCCCGGGGACAGAGGACAGCACGTCTGGGCTCACCCCGGGGACAGAGGAGGTGGCATCTGAGCCCACCCCAGAGGACAGAGGAGGCCACGTGTGGGCTCACCCCGGGGGCAGATGATGCTCTGAGGGCTGCTGGCCGGGGGAGCTGGCAGAGGGCGTGGTTTTGGGACCCGAGGCCGTCCTGCTCCTGTCTCCCAGGAGGGCCGCGTGGGCCGGCACTGGTGACCCCGAAGGGAGAATCTGTCCCCAGGGACAAGGCTAGGACTGGAGGCCCGGGAAGCACTCTGCACGCCAGGTCAGAGACAGGCCCTCAAGGTCAGGGATGAGCCTGGAGCACCAGGTGAGCTGGCCGGGCCGCCTGCCCTCCCAGAAGCCCGCCTAGCATTTCCAGTTAGTAAAATTCGGGGATGAAAGCCCTCCCCATGTGACCGCCCCTGCCCTCAAGACTTGGTACCCAGGACGGTGACACCAGGGCCTCCCACTCACTCGCTGTTGGTGACAATGTAGCCACGCTCCTCCTCAGGTGCCACTTCCAGCCGCAGGCTCTCGCCAGGGGGCAGCCCAGGCTCCTGCTCCAGCGCCCCCCGCACCCAGGGCTGGCGCTCCCCCAGCTCCTCCGCCCCGGGCTGCAGGCCCAGCTCCTTCACCGGCGCCTTGGAGTACGCCCGGCTCCTCACGTTCTCCACCCCCACGTGCTCCTCTT